TTCTTTTTGTTTTCAATAGGAGTATAATTAGATATTTATATAGGATATGATGAGAAATACTGAGATTCATAGCATATTCATGAAAATCAAATGATGTTTAGTAACACCTATTAATTACTGCTTGATTTTACTTGAAGTAAAAGAATCACGTTATCTTAATAGGACCAAAAGAAAAAATTCAACAATTTATATTTTTTGTATTGGATGGCAAGATTTTTTACCTCAGGAAGGAACTGCACTATATGATGAAAAAAAAAACATCATTCTTATTGAATTTGTCTGAGAGGAATAATGAGTTACTGCATGCCACAAGGTTTTTTAGCTTTAGATGCCTTTGCATGCATGATTTTGTGTCATTAGTTACCTGCTTTTCTGAACACAATTGGTACCATTTCAATCTGCACACTCCGTTGGATCAAAACATATTTGTCATCATAAAATTATGCAAGTCTAGCTTCAGTTAGGTAGATGGAACGAATAATTCCCAAGAAAAGAAAAAAAAAATATTTAAAACACATAAAATGCTCGTTCAATCATACCGTTAAGTAATAAGACAGATTGTGATTGAACATGATATATAGACGAATTTTAGAAGCAGTAGTATTAGTAGTTGAACATGATATAAGTAGTATTAGTAGTTGAACATGTTTAAGTAGTATTAGTAGTTGAACATGATATATAGACGAATGTTAGAAGCAATGTGATTGAAATGAGACAGATTGTGATCAGCTATGAAGTACTAAGAAATTCCGTTAGGTCTGCTTTCCAGCAATTTAGTCTTGTATATTGATCTATAGGCATGGATTCTTGTGTGTTGTTCAAGTCGATGTATGTGTTAGGCTATGTTTACATCACCGAAGGCACATGAATTGCCCTTCTTGCATGTATTTTCCCATGCTTTCGAAACATAGCTATGTACAAATAATGCATCCTTTTTCAAAACAAGCCTTTACCATAAAGTGAAACTTCAACCAACCTGTATAGATATTTATCCTACTATGGTAAATATCATCTAGCCCAAAATTAAAATTACCAACACAAAACAGTAAGTGCCCTACTACTGCATTAATCCAACATTCAAAACCATGACAAAATTATCTTCCAACAGAAAATATCTCAAAAATACAAGGACAAACCCACGAATGTTTTGATAGTCATAATCAAGAATATCCAAAATAACGCAAACATATAAAACTGACTCAAAGTTTCAAAACCGAAAGACAAACTCCAAAATGCCACCGCCTGTCAAGAACCCAATTCTGAGAATGACTTCCCAACACGCAAGGCAGCAGAAATAACCGACATAGCAAAAAACTTAAAACAACAGTAAAAGCAAAAACATAGTTCTCAAGCAACAAGTACTTGTACCGAGCAACATCACAAACAGATCCCAAATCAACCAGCACACTTCATTTAGCACCCTTCTTAGCAGCAGCCTTAGTGACCTTAGCACCCGATGCATCCTTCTTCTCCACACTCTTGATAACACCAACAGCAACAGTCTGCCTCATGTCACGCACAGCAAAACGACCAAGAGGCGGGTACTCAGCAAAAGTCTCGACCACCATAGGCTTTGTCGGGATCATCTTAACGAATCCAGCATCACCATTCTTTAAGAACTTGGGCTCCTTCTCGAGCTCCTTACCAGAACGCCTGTCAATCTTGGTCACAAGCTCGGCAAATTTGACAGCAATGTGGGACGTGTGGCAATCCAGCACAGGGGCATAGCCCTGACCAATCTGCCCAGGATGGTTCATGATGATAACCTGCGAGGTAAAGTTAGCAGCTTCCTTGGCAGGGTCATCCTTCGAGTTGGAAGCCACATAGCCACGCTTCAAGTCCTTGACAGCAACATTCTTCACATTGAAACCGACATTGTCACCAGGGAGAGCCTCTTGCATTGCCTCGTGGTGCATCTCAACAGACTTAACCTCAGTGGTGAGGCCCGACGGGCCAAATGTGACCACCATGCCGGGCTTGAGGATGCCCGTTTCCACACGGCCGACAGGGACTGTTCCAATACCACCAATCTTATAAACGTCCTGAAGTGGGAGACGAAGGGGCTTGTCCGAGGGCCTCTTGGGCTCGTTGATCAGATCAAGAGCCTCAAGGAGTGTCGGGCCCTTGTACCAGTCTAGGTTGGTGGACCTTTCAATCATGTTGTCCCCTTCGAAGCCAGAGATGGGAACAAATGGGATCTTATCAGGGTTGTATCCAACTTTTTTGAGGTAAGAAGAGACCTCCTTCACGATCTCATCATACCTTGCCTTGGAGTATTTGGGAGTGGTGGCATCCATCTGAGGAAGGTTTTTAACAAGCAACGTTAAGAAACTTTCACAGAAAGAACAAAACAATAGATAGCTAACAGAAAACATTTTTTAACAAATTAGCAAACCTTGTTACAGCAGCAGATCATCTGCTTGACCCCAAGAGTGAAAGCAAGCAAGGCGTGCTCGCGGGTCTGGCCATCCTTAGAAATACCGGCCTCAAAGCCACCGGTGGTGGAGTCAATGATGAGGACGGCACAGTCAGCCTGAGAGGTACCAGTGATCATGTTCTTGATGAAGTCACGGTGTCCAGGAGCATCAATGACCGTGCAGTAGTATTTTGTGGTCTCGAATTTCCACAGGGCAATGTCAATGGTGATACCACGCTCACGCTCAGCCTTCAGCTTGTCGAGAACCCAGGCATATTTGAACGACCTCTTGTTCATCTCAGCAGCTTCCTTCTCAAACCTCTCGATAACACGCTTGTCGATACCTCCAAGCTTGTAGATGAGGTGTCCAGTGGTGGTAGACTTGCCAGAGTCGACATGGCCAATAACCACAATGTTGATGTGAACCTTTTCTTTACCCATGATGAATGCTCAAACTGCAGCAATTCACAATAATTTTAAAGAGGAATAAGACTAAAGCAAGATGGGAAAAAATCTTATGAGTGTGAACATAATTACAAAAAACAAAATCTATTTCTTTAATGAAGGTAACTTGGCAGGAATCAAAAGCTATTTCAGATGGCAAAGAACATCTGTAACAAAGATACCACACAACAAACCACCACACATAAAAGGAGGACACATCAACATATGCAACAACAGAAACCAATTCACAAAATCAATTGAACACTCAGCAACAAGATCAATGAGTTATGAAAGCTCCGAATCCGATCCGCAGAGTAGCGGAAGCATATGATAGGTATTAACGCAAACATAATATGTCTTCACTCAGCAACAAGATCAATGAGTTATGAAAGCTCCGAATCCGATCCACACAGTAGCTTAAACATATGATAAGTATTAACGCAGACATAATATGTCTTCAAATCGGATTAACATATACATAGCTAATTGTTTTCACAAAACAACCTTCAGCTAAAATTCATCGTAATCGAACATAAATTAACATAGATCTATCATATATGATTGAATCAATTGTTGAATACACAAAGATCAACTAGAAATGTTTAAGATCATATCGATGTACGTAAACAGAGCTCAAGCTATCAAATCGATACACGTAAACAATAAACACCATAACATGAGATAAAATCAATGAACAAGATTAGAAAATAAAAGGAAAACTCACCTTTTGATAGAATGAGATTTGAATACAGAGAGCTCTCTCGCTGGCTGCTGGTAGAGAGAGTTTGCGAATAGAGAATTGAAATGGTGACTGGAAATGAGCTTATATAGGTGGTCCTAAGAGCTTGGGGCAATTAGGGTTTATGTTGGACCGTTGGATTGAAAGCTCGATGGGTAATTAGGGCTTATGTTGGACCGTTGGATCAAAGGCTCGAGCGAATAAGATTGAAGAAATGTTTTCTTCGGCCGTCGTCGCCCGTCGGTAGTGCGTCAATCTTTTGCGTAATCAACGGTTCTTATCGTTCAATTACACTTTTGGTGGATTATCTTCAACCGTTCATACTTTGGAGCAATTTGATATTCAAAAATAGAATTACATATTTTCTATATTTTCAATTATAAGTGTGTTTATTTTACTAACCATAGAAATGTAGCGCTTTGATCAATTTATTATAGTAAAAACCTAGTAAAAATCGCTCAAGTATTATACTTACAAAATGTTATACATAAATTTATATACAAGAAAAAAGGGATAAGTTGTAGTTTAAAATTTAAAATACGTTTTAAAAAATATTATTATTGTTTTTATTTAAAACAACACACGTTATTTGTACGACTTATCCATCTTATATTATAATAATTAAAAATAGAGACAAAACTAATTAAAAGTCAAAGTTGATTAACAATATGAATTTTAAAAAAATATGCAAAAATTTAAAATATAACCTTAATTTACATGTTCGGAACATAATCATTAAAATGTACAAAAATATAATCACACAGATAAAAAATGCACTCATGTGCAAAACAGACACTTCAAGATAGATGTGGCCCTGGGCCGAGTTGCAACCCGTCGTAACCATTTTCATTGTCTTGGGTTCAAAATCGATCAAAATAATTTGTTAGCTCAGGGAGATCGAAATCAATATGCCGACAATGTTTTTATTTTTAATTTCGTTTGTTCGATTTTGTAGTTGTTTCAAGACAACATTCGATATTTATTCCAAGACGACGGGTCAGCCGCCATTTTTTTTTTTTTTTGCCTCAACTTTTTGCCCATATAGATTGAAACTCGTGCATAAAACGAACACATACAAATAGTTGAGTTGGCTTTGGTTTAGGATTTTATAAACCATTATCAATTTAGGTAGGTTTCTAGCCCGATGTATGTATACCACCAAGGTCTTTAGTGTATGTTATATATGTAAAAAAATTGAATTCGACATTAATTGAAAATAATATTTATTTACCATAGTTATATTTTTTGAAATAGGAAACATGGAATTAATGCTTAAAAGGAAATGGAATATCTCTATTTTAACTTTTCGTATCTTTTTTGTTATCTTACTATGTGTTTGGAATTAATTATCTTCCATGAACTTGTATGAACAAAATTGATATTGGAGAATAAAATGAGCAAGAAGAGATAGAGATTTATCAGGATATTGCTTACATATTCTCTTTCATTAGTATTGATATTCCCTTACTATATTTTATATGGTATGTATTTATTCTTATTTTTATTTTTTTACTTGTGCGATAAAAAAAGGGCAATTAAATAATAAAAGTAAGAGACTCATGATAAATTTGATAGTTGAAAAAAGTGAGGATGAGAGCTGGATAAATCGAGCAAGAAATGAAATAAATGAAGAATGAAAATATCCTCAAGAGTTGGCAGGGAAACAAAGAAATAAAGCTTCACAATATTGAAAAGAGAGAGACGCGATTAAATCTGAAGGATTCGAGCAAGATAGATTCAGTTTTCAAAGTTGAACGAAAAGACTGAAAAGATTTAGAAAATCACGATTTCTAATGAACATGCATGCATACCTTTGATGGTTTAGTTTCACGAGTTCCGATCATAGAGCGAGCTATTCCATTACTATTTCAAAAAGCTTATAGTTTTTCATTGAGGGCTCGTGAGTTTTTATTTAGATTTTAAATAATGATTGGATTCCACACGTTGGTACATCACTGGTAATTCAAGTTGTTTGTTTATTTTGTTGTTTGGTGATTGAGACGAGCATCTTCGTACTGCTTGGATGGATCTATACGTGCAGATTAAGTCCATGTCGTTGTCATAAGAGTAGTTAGGTAGGTGGGTCCAAAGTATGTTAGCTAGGGGGAGTCTAGACAAATAACTATTATTTGTACTTGTCAGCTAAACACTTGCTTGATAAATGAGTTTTGAGGCAGAGTGTGACGCTCTCCTGAAAGTTCATTTTTAGTTGTTGACTTCCACAAATTCATATGAATATGCATTGTTTTTAATATAGGTGCAAATTTTATACTCCTCAGATTTTCATTATCCAGCATCTTCAAGTAGGCCTAAAATATTAATAGAATTGAAATATCAATAAATAAGAAAATTAGCGTGAGGGGAAAATATAACACAAAATTAAAATACCCTATCTAAAAAAATAATATTTTAAAATTTGCTAGAGGGGACTATCCAATGCTTAGAGCAACTTTAGCATAAGGTTTTCGAAAGGTTTGTAAACCTCAATTTTCCAAGTTTACGATTAAAGTTATGAGCTTTGAGATTATAAATATAAACCGGTGTTAAAAATTCATTGCCCATCTAACCCTCAATAATAAAATAAACAAAATTAGAATACAAAGTGATGTAGAGGATGTAATCGAAAGGGAAAATACGAACTCAAAAGACAACATATTTCTTATTTCAATGGTGAATGAGTTTTCTGTCTGTCTGTCCCGTACATAAATAAAGAGTTCCCCACTAACTCCACTTCCTACATGATAAATTCTACTAATTAAATAAACCACTCCATAACTAATAAAAATGACATAACTGCTAATACTAAATAGAAATAGTCCAAAATGAAGTAAAACAATAAAATAAATATGCTAGACACGCAAACGGTCATAATGCTGCAAAAACGCCAATGCGGCCTCGTCTCCATCATCCTCCCCTGCTTGGGACGGATTCGCCCTCGAATCCAGAATGGCCTCGTCGTCATCGGAATTGTCGCCCGCAAACGGCACCAAATGCTTGACGTTAAAAACGTCAGACGTGCGAATATGAGACGGGAGGCGAAGACGGTAGGCTAGGATTGATCTTCTCAATCACTTCGACCGGCCCAATCTTTCGGGCAGATAACTTATTATATTCATGGGTTATAAATCTTATTATATTCATGGGTTATAAATCGGTCATTTGTTAAAACAACCCAGACATAGTCACCTACCTCGAATTCCACGTGTCGCCGCTTAGCGTCCGCCTGACGCTTATAAGCTGTCGCGGTGGCCTCCAACCTCGCTCGAGTCGCCTCATGGGTGGACGTCAACTCGGCTATGAAGACGGTTACTCGTCGATCAACTGACGCCACGGCTGGGAAGGACACCAAAACGCACGGACCACGGGGCGAACAACATAAACAACCTCAAAGGGTGAAATCTCGGCAGCGCGACTCACGGCCGAATTGTGCGCGAACTCGGCCTGGCTCAACCATTGATCCCAGCTACGAAGGTTATCGCCCACCAAACAGCGGTGTAAATTGCCGAGTGAGCGGTTCACCACCTCGGTCTGCCCGTCTGTCTGCGGGTGATAGGCACTGCTAAAATCCAAGCTAGTGTTCGCCATGCGCCATAAGCTACGCCAGAAATGGGTCAAAAACCGAGTGTCATGATCTGATACAATCAAAGACGGCAAACGGTAAACCTCACGAAAGAACAGTTGGGCCACGTGAATCGCGTCTGTGGTGCGCTTGCAAGGAATAAAATGCACCATCTTCGAAAATCGATCAACGACTACAAAGATAGAGTCAGAGCCCCACTGGGTACGAGGTAAACCCAACACAAAATCTATACTAACCGCACTCCAAGGCTGCGAAGGAATAGGTAAAGGTCTGTATAAACCGGCATTCGAAGCAACACCCTTTGCAATATGACAGACCCGACAACGCGTCACATAGCGTGCCACATCATGCCGGAAGGACGGCAAAAAATAAGATCGATGAACCAACTCTACCGAACGATCCCGGCCCACATAATCGACACCATGGAGGTCCGAAATGAGTCGCAGTCGCATGCTACAATTGGGGATGCACAACCTAAGCCCTCGAAACAAAAACCCATAAGCCAACATGTAGTCCTCAAAAGGGCCCGTCGCGAGTCTGCGCACAATCGGGCCAAAGAAAGGATCATCAGCATAAACAACCCGCAAAACGTCGAACCCCGCAACAGAAATGCGCATATCAGACAATAATAGAGCACGCCGACTCAAGGCATCGGCCACCCGGTTCGACGCACCGGATCGATGTCGAAGGACAAACGTAAACTGCTGTAGGAAAGTCGTCCAAGAAGCATGGCGAGTAGAGATAGTATCCTGGGACGCCAAATGACGTAATGCCTCGTGGTCTGTGAAGAGAACGAACTCCCGATGAAAAAGATAGTGGCGCCAATGCCTCACTGCCTGAACGACGGCATAAAACTCAACGTCGTATGTATTGTATCTCAACCGTGGGCCTTCCCACTAAAATACGAGACTGGACGGCCATCCTGATTGAGGACAGCGCCAATCCCCACCTTTGAGGCATCACAAGAAAGCTCGAACGGTCTTGAAAAATCAGGTAAAACGAGAACATGAGCAGAAGTTAACATCTCCTTAATGAGAGCAAAGGCAGCCTTCGCTGCCGGGGTCCACACAAAAGACTTGCCCGTGAGGCAGTCCGTAATAGGCGCCGTAATGGTACTGAAGTGTGAGATGAAGCGGCGATAGAACGAAGCAAGACCGTGAAAGCTACGGGCCTCAGTGAAAGATGTCGGGGTCGGCCAATCACGAATGGCCGCGACCTTACTCTCGTCAACACGAATCCCTTCGCCAGAGATCACAAAACCCAAGAACAAAACAGACTCCACCAAGAAACAACATTTACGAGGAGCAGTAAAAAAAGATTCAGCATGTAAAATAAAAAATACCTCCCGGACGTGCTGTAAATGCTCCTCCAACGAACGACTGTAATTGAGAATATCATCGAAATAAACGACGACACTCTTCCCGATAAGATCCCGAAGAGCCTGGTTCATCACCCGCATGAAAGTGCTTGGCGCATTG